CCCTCGTCCTCACTCGTCCTCACCCCTCCCTCACCCGTCCTCCCTCGTCCTCACCCCTCCCTCACCCGTCCTCCCTCGTCCTCCCTCGTCCTCACCCGTCCTCCCTCGTCCCCCCGTCCTCACCCATCCTCCCTCGTCCTTACCCTTGTCCTCCCTCGTCCTCCCCCGTCCTCCCTCGTCCTCACTCATCCTCCCCCGTCCTCACCTGTCACCCCCCGTCCTCCCTCGCCCTCCCTCGTCCTCCCTCGTCCTCACCCGTCCTCCCTCGTCCCCCCGTCCTCACCCGTCCTCCCTCGTCCCCCCGTCCTCACCCGTCCTCCCTCGTCCTCACTCTTGTCCTCCCTCGTCCTCCCTTGTCCTCACCCGTCCTCCCTTGTCCTCACCCGTCCTCCCTCGTCCCCCCTGTCCTCACCCGTCCCCCCTGTCCTCACCCGTCCTCCCTCGTCCTCACTCTTGTCCTCCCTCGTCCTCCCCCGTCCTCACCCGACCTCCCCCGTCCTCACCCTTGTCCTCCCTCGTCCTCCCTCATCCTCCCCCGTCCTCCTTCGTCCTCACCCCTCCCTCACCCGTCCTCCCTCGTCCTCACCCCTCCCTCACCCGTCCTCCCTCGTCCTCACCCGTCCTCCTTCGTCCTCCCTCGTCCTCACCCGTCCTCCCTCGTCCTCATTCGTCCTCCCTTGTCCTCACCCGTCCTCCCTCGTCCTCACTTGTCCTCACCCGTCCTCACCCGTCCTCCCTCGTCCTCACCCCTCCCTCACCCGTCCTCCCTCGTCCTCACTTGTCCTCACCCGTCCTCCCTCGTCCTCACCCCTCCCTCACCCGTCCTCCCTCGTCCTCCCTTGTCCTCCCTCGTCCTCCCTCGTCCTCACCCGTCCTCCCTCGTCCTCCCCCGTCCTCCCTCGTCCTCCCCCGTCCTCACCCGTCCTCACTCGTCCTCACCCGTCCTCCCTCGCCCCCCCCTGTCCTCACCTGTCCTCCCTCGTCCTCCCTCGTCCTCCCTCGTCCTCCCTCGTCCTCACCTGTCCTCCCCTGTCTTCCCTGGTCCTCACCCGTCCTCACGTCTCTGTGTCTCCTCAGTGTCTCAGCCTCATCACAGCAGTGCAGCAGCTGCGGCCCAGCAGGGCGGCTACGAGATCCCCGCCCGCCTACGAACGCTTCACAACCTGGTCATCCAGTACGCCTCCCAGGGGCGGTACGAGGTGGCCGTGCCGCTCTGCAAACAGGTGAGCGACGTCCAATCACAGACAAGGACAACCAGGGTGACCAGGTTCGGTTCTCTGGGTCCCGGTTTGTCCCGGTCCTGTTCAGACTCACAGACCGTCTGATCATGTTTCTGTTTCTCTGAATTTGTGACTCAAACATCTGGTCTCTGCAGGCTTTGGAGGACCTGGAGAAGTCCTCAGGACACACCCACCCAGACGTCGCCACCATGCTGAACATCCTGGCGCTGGTTTACAGGTGAGTTTGAGGACCACCAGGACCAGTCCCCCTGTTAGAGGTCCAGTTAGGCTCTGATCAGGGTCTCTGCTGTGGAGTCAGTCCAACAGGACCAACGAAATCACAGAGAATCAAACCGAAGAAGAAGAAGAAGAAGGTCAGAGGTGGTCATGTGACGTGGGTGACTGTGCTGACTCGTGTTTTTTCCTCGCAGAGACCAGAACAAGTACAAAGAAGCGGCGAACCTGCTGAACGACGCCTTAACCATCAGAGAGAAGACTCTGGGCGTGGACCACCCCGCCGTGAGTTTAATAACGTAGACCTCAGGTGGTCCTGGGACACAGACCGGACCCCCCCCCTTAATGTCTGATCTGTGTCTGTTCAGGTGGCGGCGACTCTCAACAACCTGGCGGTTCTTTACGGCAAAAGAGGAAAATACAAGGAGGCGGAGCCTCTGTGCAAACGCGCTCTGCAGATCAGAGAGAAGGTGAGACATTCAGTGTTGGTGCCGACCCACAAACCCGAACCCTGTCCGATCAAAACCAGAATCAGAGAGTCAAGGTTCTGACTGCCTCCACCATGACGGTTCTAAACCGGTTTTTGTGTCTGGACCCCCCTCAGGTTCTGGGTACCGACCACCCAGACGTGGCGAAGCAGCTGAACAACCTGGCGCTGCTGTGTCAGAACCAGGGGAAGTACCAGGAGGTGGAGCAGTACTACGACCGGGCCCTACACATCTACCAGAACAAACTGGGACCAGACGACGCCAACGTGGCCAAGACCAAGAACAACCTGGTGAGGGCGACACCGCACACGTGAGATCCAGGGGGGCGGGCTCAGTCTCAGTGAGGGGGTCACAGGACTCCTCAGGACTCTCATGGTTAGCCTGACGGGCTGAGACTCCTCTGAGGAGGTTCTTGTCCCCTCTTGGACTCGGACCCTCCTCCGTCCGTCCCTGACTAACCCGGCGTCCCGGTTTCTCTGGTCCTCCTCAGGCCTCCTGTTACCTGAAGCAGGGGAAGTACCGACAGGCTGAAGCTCTCTACAAGGAGATCCTGACCCGGGCCCACGAGAAGGAGTTTGGATCTGTAGAAGGTACCGTCTGAAGGTCCAGACCTCCACATAAACCGAGTCTATAATCAGGGAGAACAGGGTCCTGGGGGGCCGACCTGGACCCTGGACTCTCTGATGGTTCAGACTCTGGTCTCTCTGTGGGGGTTTACTGGAGTCCACAGTTCATAGTTCATTTATTGATCAGATCTGATTATTGATTAAAGATGATAAAGATGAGACTGAGGTTTTAACAAAGAGGTTCAAACAAACTCCTTTTAGAATCGTCTCTAAACTGAACGAGAGTTTTTAAAACGACAAAGAGGAAAAACGGAGAAAATAAACAGGAAACAGGAGAAATAATGAGATATTGATTTATCTGGGAGTGATCGACAGAACGAGTTTAAGACCAACGAACATCAACCAGCTCCAAACAATGGAGGAAAAATTAACACGTTTTTTTATTATTACACCGAAAATCAAAAGTAACAATCAGGCCGACGACGACAAGAGACTGTGGGCAACAGAACGACAACCGTTCAACTGTTTGAAGAGCGATGGGTGAAACTTCTGGATCTAATCCTCCTAAAGATCTTCGGTTTATTTATGTAGGACTGATATCAGACGATGTTAGAAATAAAGGAGACAGAAACCTGTTCAAGATCCTCAGAAGGTGATTACTGGAGGATGAACCACCGACTGAACCACCGACTGAAGCACCGACTGGACACTGTAGAAGAAATTCCATCGATGGAACAAACGACCTTCAGAAAATCAGATATGAGTCACAGACGGTTAAAAAATCAGAACTGACCTGCAGTCTGAACACAGACTTAGAATTCAAACAGAGCTGTAAGACGGACGAAATGACATTTTTAGGTTACAGAGTCGTGTTTCTGTTCTTGTGTTTTTATTGATTGGAATAAATAAACTTAAAATAATAATAATAATAATAATAATAACAATAACAAAAATAATAATAATAAAAATAACAACAATAATAATAATAATAATAAAAATAATAATAATAATAAAAATTAAAAAAATAATAATAATAATAATAATAATAATAAAAATAATAATAATAACAACAATAATAATAATAACAATAATAATAATAATAATAATAACAATAATAATAATAATAATAATAATAATAACAATAATAATAATAACAATAATAATAACAATAATAATAATAATAACAATAACAATAATAATAATAATAATAACAACAATAATAATAACAACAGTAATAATAATAATAATAATAACAATAATAATAATAATAATAATAATAACAATAATAATAAAAATAATAATAATAACAATAATAATAATAAAAATAATAATAACAACAATAATAATAATAATAATAATAATAAAAATAAACCCAGGAGCTCGAACCTTCAGTGGTTCTCTGCCGCCCCCCTTTCTGACCTTCTTACCGTCTGCTTGTCCTCCAGGAGACGGTCGACCCAGCTGGTCTGGCTCCGATGACGGTTCTGGACAGGACGGGCTCAGTAACCTGAAGCGCAGCGGCTCCTTCACCAAACTCAGAGAATCGATTCGCCGCAGCAGCGAGAAACTCGTACGCAAGCTGAGAGGAGTCGGCGTGGAGGAGACCGCTCCAAGGAATCCTGGGTAATATTATTCTAAAGGGGGTCAGAGTTAGGGACCGGCTCAGTCAAGTCCTGTGGTCCGATCCTTCTGTTCTGATTCTGTCTTCAGGATGAAGAGGGCGAACTCCTTAAACGTGCTGAATGTGGAATCCAGAGAGAGCGTCCAGGTGAGGCGCCGCAGGTGATGTCATCAGGTTAACAGGTCTATGTGACCCGGGTCTATGAGGGCCGAGAGCCTGACCAGTTCTGGACTGTTTAGTTTGGGTTTAAACTGGGTTCTGGATTCCGGATTAAATCACTTCGGAAGTTTCTGTTTTTTTACTCGTGCAGCTGCAGGTCCAACATGATGGTTCTGGTTCTAACATGATGGTTCTGGTCCAACATGATGGTTCAGGTCCAACATGATGGTTCAGGTTCTAACATGATGGTTCTGGTCCAACATGATGGTTCAGGTCCAACATGATGGTTCTGGTTCTAACATGATGGTTCTGGTCCAACATGATGGTTCTGGTTCTAACATGATGGTTCTGGTTCTAACATGATGGTTCTGGTCCAACATGATGGTTCAGGTTCTAACATGATGGTTCTGGTCCTAACATGATGGTTCTGGTTCTAACATGATGGTTCTGGTTCTAACATGATGGTTCTGGTCTAACATGATGGTTCTGGTCCAACATGATGGTTCAGGTTCTAACATGATGGTTCTGGTCCAACATGATGGTTCTGGTTCTAACATGATGGTTCAGGTTCTAACATGATGGTTCAGGTCCAACATGATGGTTCAGGTTCTAACATGATGGTTCTGGTTCTAACATGATGGTTCAGGTCCAACATGATGGTTCAGGTTCTAACATGATGGTTCAGGTTCTAACATGATGGTTCTGGTCCAACATGATGGTTCTTGTCCAACATGATGGTTCAGGTCCTAACATGATGGTTCTGGTTCTAACATGATGGTTCAGGTCCAACATGATGGTTCTTGTCCAACATGATGGTTCAGGTCCAACATGATGGTTCAGGTTCTAACATGATGGTTCAGGTCCAACATGATGGTTCAGGTTCTAACATGATGGTTCTGGTCTAACATGATGGTTCTGGTCCAACATGATGGTTCTGGTCCAACATGATGGTTCAGGTTCTAACTTGATGGTTCTGGTCCAACATGATGGTTCTTGTCCAACATGATGGTTCAGGTCCTAACATGATGGTTCTGGTCCAACATGATGGTTCAGGTCCAACATGATGGTTCAGGTTCTAACATGATGGTTCAGGTCCAACATGATGGTTCTGGTTCTAACATGATGGTTCTGGTCCAACATGATGGTTCAGGTTCTAACATGATGGTTCAGGTCCAACATGATGGTTCAGGTTCTAACATGATGGTTCAGGTCCAACATGATGGTTCAGGTTCTAACATGATGGTTCAGGTCCAACATGATGGTTCAGGTTCTAACATGATGGTTCAGGTCCAACATGATGGTTCAGGTTCTAACATGATGGTTCAGGTCCAACATGATGGTTCAGGTTCTAACATGATGGTTCTGGTCCAACATGATGGTTCAGGTTCTAACATGATGGTTCTGGTCTAACATGATGGTTCTGGTCCAACATGATGGTTCAGGTTCTAACTTGATGGTTCTGGTCCAACATGATGGTTCTGGTCCAACATGATGGTTCAGGTCCTAACATGATGGTTCTGGTCCAACATGATGGTTCAGGTCCAACATGATGGTTCAGGTTCTAACATGATGGTTCAGGTTCTAACAGTCACGGTCCGGTTCTGTTTTGTACCCTCAGTCTGGTCACCTGATGGACGCTCGAGGCCTGAGCTCCAGTACGCTGAACCTGACGAGGCGAGGGTCACTGGGCGGGACCAGCTAACGCACACTCCGAGTCGACTCAGCGCCACGAGGAAAATGGACGGACAGATGGACCCCCCCCCCCAGTAAAAACTGAGACGGTCAGCTGACCGGACCCTGTTCTAAAGTGGTCCAATATCCCCGTCCCTAAAGTTCTGGTTTCTTCATTCCCCTCAAACTCAGTTTTCAGCTGTTAAAGACCCGGTGGGCCGGCCCGTGGTTGGTCCCTGAGGTCACATGACTGCACTACAAGTATTTCTGTCCGTTCACTTGAAGCTGAAATCATTCCTACCAGAACTTTTTAAATTAAAAAGTTCTGATTCTGAATCTAAATCAACTTTTACCTTCAAACTGGGTTTTTAAAACAAACCGGTTTGTTCCGGATTTACGTGACGAGAAAACGACGTTTTTACAGCTGAGAACATTCACAGATAAACTCCTCCCTCTCTAAGATCGGCAGAGGAAAGAAGTCGGTGTAAATTGACACGTTAACTTGAATGTTTACGATCAGCTACGATCGGAGGATACGACCTTTTAGGAGACGATCAGGATGAAGGTGGAGGAGGTCGGGGGTTAGACTGATTTTCCTCTCAGACACTCGGTTATAAAAACTGTCGCTCATGTTCATCGGTAAAGAAACGTTCTTACGTCGCGCCGCGGTCGGTCAGGGATCGTTTTTAAAGGAACGTTTTTTAGATAAAATCCTGATTCAGATGAAAAAGTTCTTCTTCCTGTTGAAGATGTTTGGATGTAAAAACATGTTTTTTTGCCTTTAAAGTTGCAGGTCAATCCGATTTAAAAAACTGTGATCTGTTCAGAACCACAGTCCGGTTCTGTTACTCCAGACCGGGACAATAAGGACCAACGTTGACGACGCTGACGTGAACTTCAGTGACGCACATATCTGAGTTTAAAGACGACTCATCTGTTCACGTTTGATCGGACCATGACTGACCTTCTCCTGACCTTCAGAGCGTCCTGAGATTCCTCCTCAGGCGCTCCGGGAACCCGAGTCCGAGTCTGAAAGACGTGAAAAAGGACCAGAGACATCACTAATTAAAGAAACAGCAGGAGGACGGATTATTGTGGGCGGAGAAAGAAACCGTAAAACTACGGGAGCCCAGAACGGCCATGGAGTTTTCTTTTTTAGGCACTGTTAAGTCGAGATAACGACTTATTATCTCATCATAACAAAGATCGATTTGTCATGATAACAAAAACAGCGTTTCAGCCGACCCCGACGGTGACCATTAGAAACGCCCTCCAGTTTAGGATATCTCTGAAACGCCACAAAACTGGATCTTTATCGTAACTTTAACACTTGATGATAAAAACGCGTCATAATTCAGGACCAACATTTCTAGTTCAGTGAAAACTCTGACTCTGTTACTGCGTGAAGGAAACGCCAGAGAGAGATCGGCGCTCTCTCGACCTTTACGGAGGTCATCTTTCCCGCCTCCTTGAAGGTTTAATTACTGTTACCTATTTATCATGACAGGACGGCTGATTGTACGACTCCTGAGCTGTAGAGCGTCTCACTGTAGGCGGGGCTAATGAGCTCCACGTTACTGTAGAAACTTTCTGTTTTTTTCTTCTTCCAAATATGAACATCTGAGTTTTTTATCTGCAAATTTAAACTGAATTAAACGACGATCAAAGATTCGACCGAGTCTGTTGTTTCAGTGGAAATGTTGATTTTTGTCTTTTAGGGTCTCAGATTTAGATTTTCTGTCTCTTCAGTTTTTATAAACAAAGAATTTTACATTTAAAAAAAATTAAAACACCTGAAACAAAAAAATTCAAACAGAAAATTTTATCATCAGAACTTCAGAAAAAAACAGTCATTTATAAAAGTTCAACAAGTTCAGTTACAGTAACAGAGGAAACAGAAACACACTCACAGACACACACACAGACACACACAGCGTCTGTTTCTCTCGTTTCCTCCTCTTTTCTTTTTCTCCTCTTTTCTTTTTCTCCTCTTTTCTTTTTTTCCTCTTCTTTTTCTCCTCTTTTCTTTTTTCTCCTCTTTTCTTTTTTCTCCTCTTTTCTTTTTCTCCTCTTTTCTTTTTTTCCTCTCTGACTCTGAAACCTTAAATAAAAAATAAACACAGCAGCTGCAGATTTCGACCCTCTGGAGCGACACCGGGTTCACAGAATCAGAGTCCGGTCCAAACCCAGAGCGAGCCGACTCAGCAGATTTCTCTAAGCTGGTTTTCGTTGGTCCTCAAACTCACAGCTGATTGGGTTAAAGGTCAGAGGAGCTCCTGCTGCTCTGAAGACATTTACTCACTAATGAGGCCTTTTAGCCGATGACGGGCGTTGCTACGACGACGGCGTTATGCAGAGTCCGTCCACCTCATGTCTGATGAGCGATCTGAGTGATTTTCTGCAGCATCTCCTCCGACTCCAGCTGCTCCAGAGTCAACAGAGAGAGACCGAGCTGGTCCTCCTGAGGACAGAGACAAGAGGAGGGGGTTAAGTGACAAAACAGGAGCTGTTCTACTGAACAATTACATAATTATAATAATTATAATTATAACAATAATAATAATTATAATAATAATTACATAATAATAATTATAATAATAATAATAATAATAATTACATAATAATAATAATAATAATAATAATAATAATAATAATAAAAATAATAATTACACAATAATAATTACATTATAATAATAATTACATAATAATAATTATAGTTACACACACACACAGATACTTTAAACAGAGGCACAGAGCAGCTCAGAGTTTTCCTCTGACTGACAAAGCCGCGTTACTTTAACTCAAACCTGACCTGTTTGTGTCTGACCTTTGACCTGGAAACACGGAGAGAAAGGCGAGGGTTCGACTCGTACCTGTCTGAAGGGCTGAGCCATCTGACGCAGGAAGTGTTTGGAGAGCTGGACGGTTTCATCCACGGTCAGGTTCAGACTGCCGTCGTTGATGTGCTCCTGGATCCAGCGAGGAAGTTTCCCACGCTTGTCCGCTCGGGCGTAACGCTGGGGGGCGGGGCAAAGAGAGACAGGATCATCAAACCCGGCCTCATAAAACCTCGTCCCCCGGAGACTCAGAGACCCGCTGACTCAGCAGCAGGATGTTCCTGGTCCAGGCTGACGCCTGAACCTGTGGAGATCTCTAAAGGGGGGGGGGTTCACGAACCTTGTCTGCGAAGATCATGAGTCCGTAGTCGGTCTTCCCTCTGATGGCTCTGCCCACACACTGAGCGGCGTGACGCATGGCATCGAAGGTCAGGAAGTCGTTTTCTCGGATCTGGAACTGATCCCGGAGATACTCCAGACGGGCCTGAAAGAGTCCAGTCCACATGGATCCTCCATGAGAAAATCCCTGTCCTCAGATCTGACACGGGTTCACAGTTCTGACTTCACTACAGCAGGTCCAGCAGCTGATTTACAACAACTGTGACTCTATACCGATACGAACATGATAGATGTGATTTATTACACATATGATCTCCACTAACGTCAAATTCTAACTCTCTCTAAAATGAAGCCTGAGTTTCTGAACAGAGGTCAAAGGTCAGCCTCAGAGTGTAAAGATGCTGCTCTGACCTTTAGGATGCGGCTCTGCGTGTAAACATAAGGGACTCCGAACATGATGACGGCTCGGCCGAAGTGATGCACTGAGAAAAGACAGAGAGAGGTTAGAGTTCATGGTTATTTCACGGACTGCTCCTTTAACTCCTTTAACTCCTTCAGTTCATGTTTTTTTTTACGGACTGCTCCTTTAACTCCTTTAACTCCTTTAGTTCCTGTTTTTTTTCACGGACTGCTCCTTTAACTCCTTTAACTCCTTTAACTCCTTCAGTTCCGGGTTATTTCACGGACTGCTCCTTTAACTCCTTTAACTCCTTTAACTCCTTTAGTTCATGGTTATTTCACGGACTGCTCCTTTAACTCCTTCAGTTCAGGGTTATTATACAGACTGCTCCTTTAACTCCTCTAACTCCTTTAACTCCTTTAACTCCTTTAACTCCTTTAGTTCATGGTTATTTCACGGACTGCTCCTTTAACTCCTTTAACTCCTCTAACTCCTTTAACTCCTTCAGTTCATGTTTTTTTTCACGGACTACTCCTTTAACTCCTTTAACTCCTTTAACTCCTTTAACTCCTTCAGTTCCTGTTTTTTTTTACGGACTGCTCCTTTAACTCCTTCAGTTCATGGTTATTATACGGACTGCTCCTTTAACTCCTTTAACTCCTTTAACTCCTTTAGTTCATGGTTATTATACAGACTGCTCCTTTAACTCCTTTAACTCCTTTAACTCCTTCAGTTCATGTTTTTTTTCACGGACTGCTCCTTTAACTCCTTTAACTCCTTTAACTCCTTTAACTCCTTTAGTTCATGTTTTTTTTCACGGACTGCTCCTTTAGAACTCACCGAAGTCGATCCCCTCGGACACTTTCCCTCGGGCCACAGACAGCAGGATGGCTCCTCGGCCGTTCTCACAGGCCTGCAGAGGAAACAGAGAGCATGATGGGAGGTGGGTCAGCAGGTCTTTATCAGTGAACTAGATCTGGTTCTGGAGGAGCTCTTCTCCGGATCTTTGAACAGAATTCTTTCGGACCTCCTGGTATTTCTCCAGCGCCATGCTGGTCTCTGCAGCGTCAGGAGTCTCGATGAAGATCAGCTTGTTCCTCTGGATGTTCTCCAGAATCCCCTGAAAACAAACGTTCAGAACTTCAGGATCAAACTGAGCTGGAAGCTTCGACAAACGGACGAGGAACCGGCTCAGCTCGCTCACTGACCTGCTCGTACCAGGACGCCACGATGTTCTCCATGTAGACGTAGCTGGTGAAAAACGCCACGATCCCGTCAGGAACCACGGCGGACATCTCCAGGAGAAGGTTTCCGTAGTTTCGAATCACAGCTGGTAAAAAAACAGAAGAGTAACGCCGCCGCGCTCCAACAGGAAACTAGACCGGCTAAGAGGTCAAAGACGGACTCACCAAAGTCTTCTCGGGTCTCAAACTTGGAGCTCAACGCCACCTGATCGTTTCCTCTGCCGACGATCTACTCAGACAGGAAGTCAGAAACACAAACACACGTCAGTCGACAGTTTCACCGCTTCATACGTCTTTAAAGTCTCTGAAACACACCAGAGGGCAGAGGCAGGTCCGCGCCAGCGTCATGGTGAAGGACGCCATGGTCACCGGGCGGAAGTCGAGGATTCTGGGATAGATGTCCAGAGGAGAGAGAGTCTGCAGAGGTCGGACAGAAGAACACGAGTCCGTCAGTGAGAAGTCTGCGGCACAAAAACGACCGTGACGAAACGGTAAAGAGCGTCGTAAATACAGGTGACACCTGAACGCCGCCGCCGCAGGAGAAACCGACCAATCAGAGCAGACTATCAGAGACTCTGAACAGAACTTCATTAACACATAAAAACAGAGGAGCAGAATCTGGAGACAGACGGTGTGAGGAGAATATTTTCATGTTTTTAAGGTTTTAAACTCGACTGTCAATAAAGAAGGAAAACATTTAAAAACTTTGATTAAACTTTTATATCTGAGAAAAAAGAACCAGGAGAAAAACACAGATTTACAAACATGTTGGTGTCGACTGAAACGGCCGTCGGTTCAAAAACAGACGAAGCAAAAATGGAGGATTAGAGGAAACGATCGATCAATAAAGAATCAGGAGACGATGATTCTGTCACCTCCACTAAAACAGAAACTTTTAACAACGAACGGAAGAAACGGGTTAAATTTGTGTCTCAGACTTTGTGGATTATAGATTATTGATCCTCTTGGTTCAAACTTGTTCATCGTTCATATGTTTATTATTTTTATTCTGTTTATTATTTTTATTCTGTTTATTATTTTTATTGTTTTACCAACAGGAGAAAAGAGACGAGGAGTGAGAGAGAGTGAGAGACGGACAAGAGTGGAAAGAGTTCGATTTTACTTCTCAGTTATTCTGCTGGAACTTTAATTTATGTCGAACCGTGTCTCTGCTCCACCGTGGAGAGGAATGAAGATATTAGACACAGTTGGAAATTTGATCAATAATGTAAAATATTGATGGAATATTGATCTGTGAAATCAATAAAAAAGGAAATGAAAAGAAACAGAGAGACTCACTCCAGAGGTGATGATGACCGACTGAAACCTCTGAAACACGGGTTTGATGGCGATAGAAGGATCCATACAGCTGAGAGGAGGACAGAGAGGAGGAGGAGAGGGAGGAGAAGAGAGAGAGGAGGAGGAGAAGGAGAACAGAGGGGAGACGTCAGATTTAAACTTGAGCAGGTCAAACTGTGAACCTTCTGACTCTCCTCCTCGCTGATCCACAGACTGAAACTCATGAACCTGAAGTGAAGAACCGGGTTGGCGATGGTTGGAGTTCTGTCCTCGAAGGGTTCGATGATGATGGTGAAACCTTCAGCAGAAAGACACAAAACAAGGAGGGTCAGACCAGACCAGGTCCACGGACCCTCAGAGGAAACCGGGACCCTGAAACCAGCTGAGCTCAGAGGAACATCAGGAGAGTCAGACTCTGATGTTTCTGCAGATCTCAGCAGGAGGATGAGGTTCAGATCTTTGGTCTGGACTGGTCTCGGACCCTCACCTTGGCTGTAGGTGCTGACCAGGGTGGCGAAGCTGGAGATGAGCGTCACAGCGGAGAAGTCTGCGATGTCAGCGATCTCCAGAGTCCGCAGTAAAGACTGTAACCGCTCTGCACAGAACCTGGAGGAGGACACAGAGGAGACCATCACAGAGGGGTCCAAAACCAGGGGGTGAAAACCTGACCCAGAAAGAGGACTACCAGATCTACAAGAGACCATCTAAGTCCTGCCGACCTGAGAGGTTTTCTGTCGATGCAGACTTTGTCGAAGATGTCTTTGAGGAACTGCGGCGTGCTGGTCTGGACCACATGTTGGACCCTCAGGCGGGACTTCAGGTACTCCAGAAACCTTCTTAAGAAACCCACAAAGTGATCAGCTGTGCGGATGGTTCCGGGAACGGCCTCTGTGGGGGGGGCAGTGGTTATGAGTTTTGAGGACAAAGATCTGGACCACAAAGTCTTCATTCAGCGTTTTCGTCCCGCCGTACCTTGAAGGATCTCGTCCGGTAAGACGGGGTTGGCGAGGTAGACGTCCGTTTCCCTGGCGACGTTGGCTTCCTTCAGACCCTCCACCAACCGCCTGTACTCCTCCTTCAGTTTAGCAGCGTCGGTTTCTTTAATCCTGAGAGAAGAGACCGAGAAGGTTCATGAACCACCAGATCAAAGTTTAACTCAAAGGAGAGAAGAAGGAGGAGGAGGAGGAGCAGCTGAGGAGGACTCCTCTGACTCCTCCTCCTCCTCTCTTCCATGTGGATCTGCAGGTTCTCACTTCTGGATGGTGTTCTGGAGCGTGTCCACGTTGGCCTGACAGCGGTCCAGGGTTCTTCTGGTGATGTTCACACTCATGGAGTCGATGCAGACGTTGTCTGAGGAGACGGCGAGGACAGGAGAGGACGTTCAGAAGACAAAGACAGTTTGGACAGAGAGCCTGAGTTTGGCTGAAGTGCTCCTCACCGATGTTATGAGCTTCATCAAAGACCACCACAGACGTCTTGGCCAGCTCTTTGGACACCAGGTCTGCGATCTTTGGGTCCAGCAGGTAGTGGTAGCTGTAGACCACGATGTTGGCGTGGAGGATCTGAGAGGAAAGACCGGAGAGAAGAAAGGTCAAACTGAAACATCTGCTCACCTTTCTGAAGAACTCCAGGTGGTTGTGATTTTTAAAGATGGTGTTTCTGTCTCAGAGAAGATCTTCTCTCTTCAGGAGGAACCTGAAGAACCTGAACTTCATGTTTTCTTTAGATTCAGGTGAGAAACCAACACCAGTCGACACGGTCGAGTTCAGAGGACTTGAGCAAACGTACGGCGTAGCGGGCGAGGTAGTACGGACACCAGCCCTTCCTCCTGCCAAAGTTCTTCAGGTCGTCCAGGTTGTAGATACCAGCAGGAAGAGGAACCTGTCGACCGACGGCATCAAACTCCTGCAGAAACAAAGAAGAACAGTCTGAGGAACGGTAGACCAGCAGACGCTCTCTGGGGGGTGGAGGTCTTTCTGGAGGATGTGGTCCATCCTGGTCTTGAAGGTCTCACCTCGTAGAAGCGGCACACCGGCTGGTTGGGGTTACTGTGGCGTTGAGCTCGAATGTACGACGCTGTCAGACTGTGACACTTCCCGTCGACCTCCTTCCCGAAGCGCAGAGAGCTCACCTGAAGAAAACCAAACCAGAGTCAGTGAAGGTGAGCGAAGGGTTAACTCCTCAGACAGAGAGGAAGAGGAGCAGCTGCTTCATCGCTCCGTCAGCCCCCCGGCTCCTACCTCCGGGTGGATGCAGAGGTTCTTCCTGGAGGACAGGGCCAGAGCCAGGAACTTGTTGGTCTCTCCGGTTTGTTTGGTGTAAAACTCCATCAGCTTCCTCAGCTCCTCCACCACCTGAAGGAGACGCAGATTCTTTCAGACTTGGAGGTTCTGATTCACATCCCAGCTGCTTCACACTCGGCCGTGACCCGTGACCCCGCCCCAAAACAAACATCTAAAAAGAACAGACTGACCTTCTCGATCTCGGGGACCGTCCGTGAACAGTAGATCAGTTTGGTCACATCTAAAGGAAACACCTGAGGAGACAGGAGAACCGTTTAGAGGAGGAGTCTGTGAGGAGACGAGTCGGACCGGAGTCCTCTCAGAAAGACCCAGAGACCCTCTGACCCTCCTCACCCTCTGATAGGCCACGATGAGGGACAGCAGAGAGATGGTCTTCCCCGTCCCTGAAGGCATCTCCAGGACCCCATGACCCTGAACAGGAACAGGAGTCAGGAAGAAAACACACTTTACTTACAACACCTGTGTGTGTGTGCGTGCGTGCGTGCGTGCGTGCGTGCGTGTGTGTGTGTGCGCGTGTGTGTGTGTGTACTTTAGCGTCCAGGGTCCTCTTCAGCTCCAGCATGTAGCTGAACTGTTCTGGGTAGATGTAGTCATAGGGGAAATAAACCAGCAGACCGTCGATGTTCAACCTGGAACACAAGAACCAGAACTCAGACCTGGACCACAAGAACCAGAACTCAGACCTGGACCACAAGAACCAGAACTCAGACCTGGACCACAAGAACCAAGCTAATCTCAGACCTGGCCCTTCACAAACCCAGACCCCTTCATCTGTTTATGCAAAGATCGGACTTTCTTCTGATTATCGGCCCGCTCCTAAAGAGATCGGTTTGATAATCGGTCTGATATAAATGAATAATCGGTCAGTCTCTAAATCACGTGTTATCTAACAGTTTAAACCGTCAAACTGAGCTCGAACTAAAACAAACAACATTCCTGTTTCTCTCCTGTCTGAGAACAAACACTCACTTCATGTTGTTGAACCTGCAGCAGCACAAAATCTTCCTCTTTATCGATCCTTAAAAACTCTCATTGACGCCGCTCACAGCAAACTCACGAAGAAGAAGACGACGGCGCTTTTTCTTCTTCGGCGGTTCTTTCATCCACCGGGTCGGGCTCATCGCTCCTGCCCGCCTCACCGCCCTCTACAGGTGAAACTGAAAACTGTTCGAATCTCAGTGTAGAACATTTTAATTAAGTGACGAGAATAAAGTCTGTGAGTGAACGACGGAGGATTAGGGCCACATTAAGAGAGAAAGATAAGACTTTGAGATTAAAGTCATTAATTTAAGAGAATAAAGTTATATTAAAGTCCTTTTATTCTAACCTGCTGTTTAAGGTGACAGTTGTTGAAATTAGAGCCAAGGAGTATTTGGTGAAAATGAACTTTAATATATATTTCTCAAACAAGGAGATCTTTTGGCACATCAGCACCACATTATCACAAGTTTTTTAATGATTTTATTACGACTTTATTCTCCTAAATTAATGATATTTTTTCTCAGTGTGACCCTCATACTTGGTTGTATAAAATGAGATTTATCCCTGAAATTAGTTTCTGAGTCAAAGATTCAACATCAGGAGGAATAACTGTGAATTACTGAACTCTAATATTAAAACTTTACATCATCTGTATCTCATGTATTTATGATATTCATCATTTTAGGACTTATTTCCCTTTTCTGTCCTCCATAAAAAACATAATTATTATATTTTACTATAGTGATGATGTGTCTCTTTGAGAGATGTAGTTTTAAATTTATGTATAAAATAATGTCAGCATAAGTGAAACTGAAGGAACTCACAGTGACCACTGGAGGGCAGTACAGACAAAGGCAGAGTGTTCATTCTGGTTATTTTAGTGAATTTAATGATGATAATGAGAATATCCTTAAAAATGTGAGTGACTCTCATGATGACTTTTTAAAATCTATTATAAAACCCTTTAATTTTCAGTGTGAAGACTTTTAAAGAGCTTTTAAAGAAACTGAGAAGTGAACTGACTGTGAGACTTTATATCAGAGAATAATCAGAGTTTCTGTTTGTTTTTCTGTCACATTTAAAGACATTTAAGTAAGTTTAGATTTTGTGTAAAATGTTAATAAAACATTAAAAAATGTCTAAATCATTTAAACCCTCTATTTAATCAAATATATAATTTAAAAAAATAAATGTTTCATAAAAATATCTGCCTTTTCTTTTTAAGACTCCAGTCATGTGACCGACCAGCTGATGTGATCAGAGTTTGGAGGTTTTTTTAGTTTTTCCATATTTTGTCTTTAAACAATTTTTCAATTAAACAATTTTAAATTATAATTAAACCATCAAATTTAGTTTTCAACATGTAATGTTCCAACATCTCTGAATCAGATCACACATTAAAAAATATAAACTGTAAACGAAGACTTTAATGAAATAAAAGAGATAATAAATGAGACTAAAACTCACTCTTATTTGTTTCTTTAATCCCATCAGAACTCTAAAAACAGTGAAATAAAAACACGTCCAGCAGCTCCAGTCTCTGTTTTATTCATATATTTGTAGTGATGAAGTTTAATATGCAGCATAAATGACTTTGAATAATAGATTCTGTCTGTGAACATCAGATTAAACACCAACCAGTTTTCAGGAGGACCAGGATCTGCAGCAGGTTTGAACAGACACACGGCAGAGCTGCTGTTCTCAGATTAAACAGTAGGGGGCATGAGAGAGCGAGCTAACGTCAACTGTCCACCTGCAGATCTTCACATTAGAGACGCTGAGTTTGAAACAGAACAACTCTGAGAAGAAAGTCTGAATTCTTCTGAAGAATTTGGTCCAGAAACGAAAATCTGAAAAATTCACAAACAACAAAAGTTCTGAGACGACCCGGATCTGCAGAGGGAAGAGAGTCCAGCTGCTCCTGAGGTCTGTTTACCGGGTCTTCAGAACCGACCAGAACAGGAAGGGACCTGAACGATGGAGAGACAGAAGGAGGGAGAGAAGGAGAGGAGGAGAGAAGGGGAGAAGGAGAGAAGGAGAGAAGGGGAGAAGGAGAGAAGGAGGAGGAGAGAAGGAGAGAAGGAGATGAAGGAGAGAAGGAGAGAAGGAGGGGGAGAGAAGGAGAGATGGAGGAGGAG